GGTTAAAGCACAAAGACACAAGAGACCTGCTCATCCACCAAAGAGTAAATGGCCACTTTATTAAACTCAAGTCGGGTATATATATATTAGTGGGCAAAGGGGGCAGCCAGAATCAGCTGCGGGAGGCAGGTGTGGCAGGCCTATAGGGCCAGCAGCTGGAACCTTGTTTACAGGTGGAATTACCATAACAAAAGAGAGCCAAGTTCTTTCTAAGCTATACCCTCAAGCCGGTGCTAGTGCAGAATCTCCAGGGAGCCAGAGGTCAAAGGGCCCTGCAAATCACCAGGAAGAAAAGGGAAAAAGACCTGGGTACCTACAGATGGGAGAATGAGAAGTGGAGCTGCTGATGAGTCTGGGGTGAGGTGAATGGGGAGGAGCAAATGAAATGGAAGCTCCTACTTTTGTTAAAAAAAATCCCTTCCCATGAGAGGTACAGGCAGGTTGGCATGACTAAACATGAGTGAGTGAGATAAATACCCTTAAACACACAGTTAAGTGGTTGGGGTCTGCTGAGGTAGATAAGGCTGTCCCCCTACACCAACAATAGGGTAACTAGCAGGAGAGGTAGGCCCCCAGAATTTTCTCAGTACCGAGTATGTGGCTCCAGTGTCCAAGAGAAAGGAGATGGGCTGTCCTGATACCATAATGTTAACCCGTAGCTCCCTGTTACAGATGATGGTTGTGGTTGGATCAAAGGAGCTGGGAAGCCTCACTCATCCATGGCCAGACCTAGAAGGTCAACTTGGGAATTTTCTGGGTTTGATGTCTCCATGCCACTACATGCACAGGGACAATCTACTGCCTGATGTCCTTACCTATGGCATCTCGGACAAGGTCTCACAAGACCAAGATGAGGATTAGGTCATGCTCGGGCCCAGTGACCAGTTCTACCACATTTGAAACATGGGCCTGGCAGTTCTCGAGCCTCAGGGGGCAAGGGAGCAGCACAGACAAAATAGATCAGGCAGTCTGTCACCTTGGCCAGTTGGGAGGCCATGGTTAGCATGTGACAGTGATTTCGAGCTTTGTCATTTCTCTCATGGTACACCTTAAAAGCCAACTCTGAGACTTCTGCCTGTGGGGTCAAGAGGCCTTTCTCCACACATTTAAGTTTAGCCCTAATGGCAGAGTAGTACTGATTAAAAAAATGAGTCATGAGTAACTGTCTGCTTTCCATGGTTTCTGGATCTAAGTTAGTATACTGTAACAGAGCTTTTGTGAGGTGTTCCAAAAATGCAGAAGGATTTTCCTTCGTATCATGAATGATCCCTGAGAACTTAGTATAGTTTGATGACTTGAGGGCAGCCTTATGGAGACCTGCCAGGAGGCATGTCAAAAACCGGTTTCTAGCTAAAATCCCACCTGGAGTATTATAATTCCAGTGTGGCTCTTGCTCTGGAACAGCCTCTGCTCCAAGAGGGTGGGAGGCAAGAGTTTGGTGAATCTCATCTGCATGTAGTCTGGCCTGTTCCCAAACTCGTCAGCGCTCTCCAGGAAGTAGGTTACTAGATAAGATCATATAGATGTCATGAAAGGTAAGATTATAAGACTGGATAAGATATTGGAATTGTTTTATGAAAGTGATAGAATTAGATGTATAGAACCCCAGTTTTGTTCTATATGAGAGTTCTGAGAGTGAGAAAGGAACATGTACCCTAATCAATCCATCTACGCCAGCCACCTCTCGCAACGGGAGAACTGTAGCGGGCTTGGCTTTGTTGAAGTTAGGTTCCATACCAGCATGTGAGCATTTGAGAGGAGGGGTAAAGGTGGGTGCCAGAGCAGGGCGGCTGCTGCGGCCAGGCACTGAAGAGAAAGAATGATTCAGCAGGGCTACTGGAGCAGGTAGTGTGTGTGTGTGTTGGGGTGGGGGGGGTGCTGAAGAACAAGCAGAGGGAGGTGGCGAGGCAGCAGGAGGTAAAGAAGCAGAAGTATCTGACTGTTGAGGTTGGGAAGATGTGGATTCTGTAGCATAATTGGGAGCAGTGAGTTAAAGAACCTGTATAGAAACAGGAATAAGAGCTAAAGGGACAGGAGTAGAAACTGGGGTTGAAGGAGCGATGGCAGGGGCTGAAGGGACAGGAGTAGAAACTGGGGGAATGGGGTTAGCTGCCTGATGAGGTTGAAAAGGCAGGGGTTCATTAGCTGGGTCCAGAGCAGAAGTAGAGGGTTCTTCCAATACAGATGGCATAGCCAGGAACATATGATCCGGCGAACAGCTTGCAAGGACAGAGGGCTTAGGCTTAGAGCTTTAATAGTAAAAGGCTTAGATGTAAGGAAACTCCTTCCATTTGCCTGTGCGCTGATAGTAGTTAGAAAGCTCCTGTAAAATATCAGGATCAAAGGTGCCATTAGGTGGCCACTTTAGACTTCCATCTAAATTGTAACGAGGCCATTATTTTGAACAAAGGTGGGCAAATGAGGGAATCTGTAGGTAGGGCATTAAGGCCTGGAGTTTTAGGGCCTCTAAAAGGCATCCCGGGGGAGGCTGGATTTATGGGTCTGGGTAGCTTGCTTCCCATATTTGAGACCATGAAAATCCATGAAACAGCGACACCACAAGGCCTATAACAGGACATCTCCCCCTATAGGCAGGGTACAAATCAGCATGTCACAAGACTTGTGGGAGGGCATCCCCTGGCCATGGGTGGGACGGTTAGACCTGTCTAGATCAGGTTGGAGTGACTCAGAACTCAGCGAGGCAATGGCTTTAAAAATTTGTTACAAAACTACTAGTATTTATTTTATTAGATTGAGTAACTCTCTGTTTTGTGAGTATGTATTTAGGATTATATTGTTTGTTGGTCAGTTATTTTCTTTAATGATTTTTAATTCCTTCTTGCTGAAGACATGACATGAATGGGTCATCAAACAGAGATTAATCAAGTTGGTATTCACACGGAAGCTTCCTCTTTTCTTGTTAGCTTTCACAGTGATAAAAACTGATATGTATGTATGCCACGAGAGGAGAAGAGTAAACATCAGTTTTATTTAGTTATGAACCCTGAAAGCATCAGTCATGACAAGCTTTGTAATATGTTCTCAGAAGTACAATAGTGGCATGAATATTTCTGAAGTGACCACTGCTTTCTTCTTGGATTTAAGGCTCACATCACAAGATAAAATCCACACATAGTACTGATATCAGGTACAAGAACCTGGGCTACATGGGCCACACACCAGAGCAGAGATCTGACTTTATTTCCCTGCCAAAGTGACATAGTAGTAAAGTGACTACTAATGACTTATCATTACTCCAGTAATTAACATGAACAACAACTGGGCAAGGTAGAGAGAAGAAGAGAGTATGCAATGCTCAGCCCTCAAAAGAACCTGTAATGCAAACCATCTTCCCACATGACAGGGCTTTTATTTTTAAGCTTTTTTAGGTTTTTAAGTGGATTTAGTTACCATGCTGGGCGCCATTTTGTAAAAGGAGCGGCGAGCTGCGTCCCGCCACCCGGCTAGCTTTACATCTAAAATAATTATACAAAAACTGTATTCTTTTAATCACTGCTTGGCCCATTATATCTAGCCTCTTATTGGCTAACTCTTACATATTGATCTAACCCATTTTTAATAATCTATATAACACCACGAGATGATAGCTTACCAAAAAAAAAAAATTCAACATGTCTGACCTGATGACTAGTTCCATGGCGTCTACCTCACTTCCCTTCTTCCCAACATTCTGTTCTATCTACTCCACCCACCTATGTTTTGACCTATTGGACTAGACAGTTTTCTTTTTTAATTAACCAGTAAAAACAACAAATAGATAAAAGACTTTCCTACATCAGGGCTCATTGTAGAAGATCAGGCTGGTATGAGGGATTGCTGCAAACACCATGGTCAGTAGAGTGTTGATCCAGGAGAGGAAAGAAGTAGTTTGGGTTCAATAAGACTCAGTGACCTGTGTTAATTCAAATTTAGAGCCTGACATCAGGTAGTTTGCTTCAGCAGAGCACAATTGGGAGAAAATTTCCTAGAGATAATTAACTTAATCACGTACGCACAACAAAGCTTAAGACATGATTGTGTTGAATCTCTGAGCAAGTTCAAGTGACATCTTCCATAAGGATAGGTTCTATAGATTTACTGAGGAAGCAGGCTTGAGGTAAACAATGTTCATCATAAGGATTTCAGGGAGGATTAGTGCTATAAATAAATGTAAGAATCTGAGTGAACTGTGTTTCCAGGCTATGAACCATATCCATTCCCAGGCTTCTGGGCAGAAAACAAGTTACATATCTCTTCCTTTGAAGAGATAACACTGCAGGCTTGACACTCCCGGATTCCCTGTGCTTGTCTGTGAGCACAAGTGCCTGCATGCTTCTTAGAGGCTAGAAGAGTGTAGGAACAAAAGTGGATGGATGAGTATAGGAAACAGTTTTAAATATGTAACGGGGATGTTGCACTTATGATCATCCAGTGGTCATAAGAGCATGCATGAGACATGTGTAACTCTAGCCAAAGTCCTGCATTGGAGAAAGGGGATTAACACAAAATATTTCCTTTAGCAAAGAAAGATTGCTGTTTTGATCAGGATGTCACTACTGGTAGATGAAATATGCTCCAGTGTGTGACAATAGCCAAGAATATATAGTTGCACTCATTAGACAGAAATTACTCCTTAAATCAAGAAAGCTGGGTACGGGATAGGTACAGATAACCGAGGAACTGAAGAAGTAGGAAGAGGTAAAATTGATCAAAATTTAAGATGCTATTTTTAAATATATTTTAGTTTATTGTACTTAGATTATGTGATACTGATTTTTAACAATTATTACCTGTGTGTTTGTAAGATAAGGGTTGTCAGATATTATATGTTGAGTTTTATACCTAGAAATATTGAAAACTATAATATTTTGTATTAAAATTGTAATATTGTAAAGGCAATCAATTTTTCAGTGTAGTTTTGCATTTAAAATACAGAGGAAATGCTAGTCAAATACAGTAAAGAATCTAGAAAGCTGCTTTTGGAAAAAATAAGAAGCAAATAAATGGAGAAAGGAGGTTTATTCAAGCATATTTTACCAATAATAAGAACTTTAATGGACAAATTCCATACTCATATTAAATTAAATCCCATTTTACATTCTTTTCGAGACAGGGTTTCTCTGTAGCTTTGGAGCCTGTCCTGGAACTAGCTCTTGTAGACCAGCCTGATTGTGAACTCACAGAGATCCGCCTGCCTCTGCCTCCCGAGTGCTGGGATTAAAGGCATGCACCACCACCGTCCAGTCCCATTTCACATCTTAATAGTATGGAAAAATCAAATAATAGGATAAATGGAAAAGAACTAAACTACTACTTTCTTAAAACAGCAAAGGATACAATCTTATGGTTTTGAGTCTGGAAAAGACTTCCCAGACAAAAATATCTAAAAATGTGAATTGCATTTAAAGTGTTTTAAGGAGACTAAAATAAGTTGCATGAGTTTGCACTCTGCCAGCAATGGATGGCTGTTCTCTTACTCCACATCCTCACCAGCATGAGCTACCACCTGTTTTACTGATCTTAGCTGTTCAGACAGGTTGAAGATGAATTCTCAAAATAGTTTGATTTTCATTCCCTGATGACTAAGGATGCTGAACATTTCTTAAGTGTTTCTCAGCCATTTGAGCTTTCTCTTTTGAGAATTCTCTGCTTAGAACTTTAGTCCAATTTTCAATTGGGTTGTTTGTTTTCTGGATTATTTAGATTTTTGAGTTCTTTATATATTTTGGATGTTAGCCCTTTCTCAGAAGTGCAGTTGGTAAAAATTTTTCCCCATACTGTATATGGCACTGTATATGGCTGCTTTGACTGAATGACGGTATCCTTTTCAAAAGAAATTTTTATTACTTCTACACTAGAAAAATTAAAGTGTTATTTTCATAAAGAAAAACAGAGTAAGGAGTTTTATAAAAAAATACATAATCACAAATCAGGTAACAATACATGTAATTGCTTGGATGCACTACTGAGGCTGTAGCCTATTTCCAGTTGCTTGGTGTCTCCATTTTAAAAGCTTCACTGTTAAAAGCTCTGAATTGATTTTGTGGGTAGCCACTTGCTTCTTCATCTTCCGGGTTAGAATGGAGAGCAGATATTTTCTTTTTTCCAGCCTTGGTGACCTTGAAAGAGACAGTGAGAGATACTATCAGATTCTAACAATTGAACTGAAGCATTGTTTATATTTCTCCAGTCAACCACTGTTGTCTATCGCACTCAATGGCCTTTCTGCCTTCTCAAAGGCTGTTGATCTCTACTTCATCTTCTTCATCGTATTGGCTTATTTTGAGCCACCTCTTTCCAAATATGTGGTCCTTGCAGAGAAGGCTCTTCATGCTCAACATGACTTTATTTAAGTAGGTTGGATATTTCCATGTGTAGTGGAATGAACAGTGTTGATCCTCACTTTGGCATATTTTTATGCCATTTCTATTTCCTAGACCTCTTTCTCTAGTGTCTTTACCCAATTAAGAAAATAATGTTTATTCACATCTTAAGATGTGCTAAGCACTGTGTGAACTCACAAATATATAGGAATTTCTTCCCTTAAAGTACAGATTAAGAGTTAAACTTTCCCCAAACCAGTCACATCCTAATTGTTGAAGCTGCCATTCAAATAACACCTGACATATTCAAAACTGTTGCTCTTAATCACTATTCAAATGTACTTGCATGTCATTTTAACTTCCTCATACATCTTGTATACAATATTCTTTGAATTATGTCTTCAATATAAATTCTTGAAAATTTTTCCCATAGAAATGAATGTTAGGGCATCATTTGAATTCTCCCTTCTAGAGACAGAATTATATATGCACCACACTGAAAACTTCATATTTGGAATGAAAATGTGAACTTCTGCTTTGGTAAATCTGTTCTCTGTCTACTTCGTACCTTAATGAAACTGTGCTCTCCAGACACCAGCTTCAGTCGCTTGTCAATTGTTTTCAGTTGAAAGCAGAAGAGTCGCAGTTTGTCTCCTACCTCACAGCTGACGTTGTAGCATTTCCCACTCCCTACAACTTCAATATTTCCTGTATCATCTTTTATTTCATATATTGTGTTCTTTTGGTTCACCTTTTTCTGCAAAAGTAAAATTAACATTCCTTTTCTGAAAGTTTTCTCATTTTGTTATACACGTAAAAAGAATTTTTTTTCATTTCAAAAATCACAAAAAAATATGAAACCTGTTACAGATATAAGCATATAGGCATCTTCAGTGATGTCTTCCCAAAGAATTCTCCTTTATTACTTCTATGATTTACTTTCTTTATCTAGAGGATTTCTGCCTGGAAGTGTTACTACAATAAATGTTCTTCCTGCTTCCTACTACTCTCTATTCCTCAATAGTCTGGATTCTCCAAAAATCACCTTGATCAATCTCAGGAATCAAAACTTTGGGCAACCATCTTTGTATACTCTTATAAAAGGAAGAATGGACATTTTCTTCTACTATTCAGTCACTCACTCACTCATTCATTCATTCATTCATTCATTCAATAGATTATAGGGAATTTCCAGAACAGGTAGGATTGCAGTAGTTCACTTATTTGGACTCTATTCATTTACTTAGCTTTTTTCCAGGGATTTTCTTTCATGCCCAAGAAAGCCAAAGTCCCCAAATCTTACTGTATTGGCTTTCATAATTCACTGTATTGTGTTCATAAGCATTGCTGCTAAGGAGTGTGCTATAAAGTAAGAGCTTTAAAATAAAGGAGATTTTAAAAGAAGATGGAGTAAGGAGTCTTAAATTGTCAAGTTTATAAAATGTTTGTTGAGTTCACCGAGGTTGTCATTTTTTAAAAACTGAATCCTAATACTCAGAATTTGGGGATTGATTCATTAATAAGATATCTGTATATATTTTCATTTGTAAAGGAAAAAACTCAATTTACTTACTCCATAAAGGTCATTTCATACAATAGTTCTTTGTTGCTAAGGTCTTCAGAAATAATTAGGTAACTAAATAAGATATGAGTCAACATTAAATGATTAAACCTTCTGTCTACAGAAAGAGTAAATTTATTCTATTGAATGGTTTTGAATTTGTGAGGATGTCACTCATCCATTTATTATTTCAAATACATATCACAATCAATATTCACCCCTTTTCAAAGAATCTGTAGAAACATAATGCATAGAAAGAAAATAACGAATATTGTATAGTTATAGCATATCTAAAAAATTTGAGATTGTTGGCATGACCCTGACCTGTGGCCTGCACCATTCCTTCTCGTTGATTTTTAACTAGCAAAATAAAGTTCCTTGGTAAGTTATTTTCTGGAGCTCTTTCAGAGACATCTTAGGGAGTAGGAAAAGGGCACTCAGTCTTATTCTCTAATATTGGGATGATTTCATCTTCTGTCCATAGTCTAGAATACTGTGCTACAATATTGTCACTAAGCTGTGATTTCAGTTATCATATTTAATTCCAGATGTTGGTATAGAAAAGTTAAAAAACAAAACCAAAAACAAGTTTTTAAATATTACCTTGTGTAATGTAAACAATCCATAAAAGAGTGTTCCACTTACACTCTTGTGAATATCAGAAATCATGGGAGTTTCATTTGCTCTACTGATAAGCTTCTTGGGAACTTCAATCTTTTCATTGGGTTCAGCTCTAGTCACATAGGAGTCTGCCTTTATCTCTATGATTCCTCTGAACTTGACATAATTGGAGATTATGATGACATTCCCTTTTGTGAACTGCTCTTTCAGGTTGATGTTGAAAACTTTCACATGGAAATACTCGCTCACAGTGGCCACTGTAGCATGAAACATCATCTTTCCTCCAGGTTCTGTTGACTCACATTCAAATGGCTCTGCTGCATTGAGCACCATCACGGTCATGACCTCATTTTGGCTAACAGCTCCTCTGGTAGCACTATGGCTTGGGGTCTGTGTCTTTTGGCTCTGAGTTAAACAAACACAGGGATATAAACTTGTAAGTTTAGCAACAAATATAAATTAACCTTCATATAAGATAAATTTCAAACTCCATATTGGTCCTAAAGGTTTGTACATATTTGTAGAACTATAGATGAGGTACAGAGAAATTCTTTCATTAGACAAAAGTCTAATGAGTTAAAGCAAAGGGCTTCAACCACAGAAGTTTGAAAACTCTTCCTGAAAAGCAGAGGAATCATTCTATCGTGGACAAGATGTTCAACATGAATACAGCAGAAACTGTTAAGAGCAATTTTCTGAAGTACTTAAGTAAAATTGTAATTAATTTAAACATATCCTTTTCTCTTATGACAGTAGAATATAAAATGGGGATATTAAATATTGTTGGATTAGAGAATAGTATATATAAAACATACAACTGGAGTTTCTTAGGTTATTATGTGGGTACAAATCAAAGTATGTCTCCTCTGGAGATACCAACCTGTTCCTATTAAATGATCAAAAACAACCTGAGCTGGCTCACAGCCACCTCTTTTAAACAAGCTCAGGTAGAGGTCCTTCGGTTAGAGTCATGTTCTTAACTTTTAGAGATTTTTCCTCAATATCAGTGTTTATAATACAGAGATATATTGATAGACCTCTAATCTCTTTTCTGTACAGTGTTCTGAGATCACAGACTAATACAGAGTGTTTCAAAGAAGAGAAGAATGCCTAAATGTAAGACAAGATATGCAAAGCAATGAAAAGCTATAAGCTTGGATATCTGCATATAAGGAGATAGAGTTGTCTTCACAGACCCAAGGAAATGCAAATAATACAAGCATCAT